GTCAAGATAGGAACATCAGTGAAATATTTCTCAAACACCGCTGCAACTTCTTGATTTGATTTAGTCAATTCATTATTAATTTTTAATAACTATGATAATAAAAAAAAAAAACTAAAACTAGAAACTTAATTATCATATAGTCTTACTCCCCGCGGTATCGTGCCAAGAACGCTGGCTGCGTTTCCCCGCTGAATGGCTATACTTAGCCTTTGAGCGAGGAAAGAACCAGCCCTCTTATCACCAGCAGCAACGACCAGCCGCGGATGGAGTTCCTTTAGGAACTTCACCGCACGTGGACCCCACGGACCGATAGTCTCTACAGCAAATGGCACAAACATGTAGTCATCTCTCAGAGACTCATATTTGCGCCACTTACTCAGTTCAGCTGATTATAGATAATATAATATATTCAATACAATATCATATTAATATTCAGGTTTGAATTATTGATTTGTTGATTGGTACAACACCTGTAAACATATTATAAATACAAGTTGCACTACACCCTGCAATACGTGTAGCTTCAAAGAATAAATTATTAAGATTATAGGATTTGAACAAAGAACAAAATTTAATGCTGATGGAAGAAGTTTCCAGGAGATTGATATTAAAGTCTCCACACACTACAAGAGATTTATTCTGTTTATTAAGCTTAACTAAAACTTCTTCCATAATTTTTTCCAAAGTATCATAACTTGAACATGGGGGTCTGTAAACACTGACAACAATAAGGTGCTCAAGCTCAACACATGCCATTTCTACAGTACGCTCAACAGAGAGGCTCACAATATCTTTACGTTCTTTACATGATAAGGACTTATTAGCTAATATTAAGGAGCCACCACGTAATTTAGTATATCTATTGAACGAACTGACCACCTGGTGATTACTGAAATTAAATATGGAGTTGTAATCTTTCAACCAATGTTCTGTAATACATCGTTTATCGACCAAATCGGCGATACATTAAAAATGGGCCAGATTAGGAGTACCCTTAACCGACGAGCGTGTATGCGTAGATATATGGATGTAAAGGAGGCGAGAGAGGTGTGTCAGGATCGCGCCAAATTGAAGTCCGTAGTCTCTGCCTACCCCTCTGGGTGACAGGCGTGAGTGTTTATGTATGTGTGTTGTGAACCTAATATAAGTGGAATGGGGACGAATTAATGTTCTTTAGCTCAAAGTAATTATAAGGCACTAGCAACATCTTTCGAGTACTCTAGTGAATGTTCATTTTTCCAAGAGACACCTAAAAGAACTAAGTCACTAAACAAACAACGTAAGTAAGGGTCCTAAGTAAGACGATTACGCCATAAATTTATTAAACAGTCTATAATTAAACCTTGAGAAAGATCAATATATCAATATTTTTACAGACACGGTCGAACATGTGCCTGCTGTACTGCCATATAACAAAGATGTTTTTCGTTGTATATTTTATCTGAAGAATTTTTAATTTTTATTGAACTCCATAACGGTGCTTAAAACTTTTTTTTTAAAGTTTGTTGTCCTTATTCAACAAGTATTTTATTTAACCCAAATTTAGTTCTGCCTATCTTATTATAGAATTACTATCAAACTAAACAGATATATTTTTTTTTATGTTAGATTTTGAACAATGTCCTCCAATTTTACATTTTCTAATTTATGAACATTCTCATTTCAATAATATTCATGCATTGGATTCTCTTAAGTTCTTTCATTTGTTTTTCCAAACTATCAATTTCTTTTAATGTCTCAACATAATCAAGTATCATGGATACCCGTTTAGTTTTCAGTTCCATGATTTGTTTTTTATTATCTTCTAACAGTTTTTCGATTATATAGAGATTCGATATTATAGAGAACACGATGGTCAGTGTAACCGCGCTTTCTATATGTTGTCCATAAGCTGTATGCGTAAAAACATTGGCAGTAGGTTTTATAAATGCAAACATGACTTCGTTGCTTTACACGGTAGAAACCTACGAATCAACATATTTCCATGCACTGACAGTGCCATTCGCTCCCTCTCGATGTCCATATCATCTATACACTTTTCAGTAATGTAGTGGCCTAAATATTTAAACTATTTTACTCTGGATAGGGCAGTACCATTAAGGACAAAAGGAGGCACATACTTGGGACATTTATTTTCAGCTCTAAACATCATAAACTGGCTTCTCTTAGTATTGTATACTAAACCATGTCTAACAGCATAATCCTCACAAACACGTAATAATTTTCTAAGAGCACTGACAGACGGGGCGAGCAGCACCATATCATCTGCATAACTTAAATTGTTTAAGCATACTCCATCTATATATCATCCGATATACATGTTGCTCAACTTATCAATTAAGTCATTAATGTACAGGCTGAACAGGTTCGGTGAACTTAAACCCCCCTGTCTCACTCCATATTCTAGCCCGTACGGATGAGAAAACTCGTATTCCCGTTTGACACTATTTATTTGATTGCTGTACCAATACTCAAAAATTGCGAAAAGTTCAACAGGCATCTTGGTTTTCCTCAACTTACTCCACAAGGACACCATATACATTCTTAGGACATGAAGGAAGTCTTTTGACAGGTCTAGAAAACAAGCATACACAGGTGTTTTTTTTTTTGTACGTATAGTATTCGACGGTTCGCTTGAGGGCCAAAATGGCACTCTCTGTTGAAAGACCAGACCGGAAACCGAATCGGAGATCGTGTAGCTGCAAATGTTTTCTTAAATACCCATCAAGTAGACCGTCCAGCACCTTTGCTTATATTGCAGCCAATGATATAGGTCAATAGTTGGTTATGTCCGAGATGAACCCAGTTTTATTTTTGAGAATTGGAACAACAATAGTACTCATTAAATTATTTGGCAAATATCTATGTCATAGGCACAGTGAAAAGAAGAAACCCAACACCCTAGGGAGATGGTCACCAGCATGATGTAAATGCTCAATTCTGAGATCATCATACCCGGGGGACTAACCCTTTTTCATGTTCATAATCACTGCACCAACCTGTTTAGCTGTGAAGCGAAGCGGGTTTGTGTCAGGAGACACCTCCGTGTAGGTTTTACCATTTATGGGTCGTAAAGGAGAGTCAACTTTAAAATATTGCCTATAATACAATCTCTTTTTTCTCACTAGTGTTATCAATGCTCACAGGAAGGTTAGGCTGCGGGTTTAATTTATTTGTGGATTACCAAAAATGTTTGATGTCCTTATTACAATGTTGAAAAGCTATAATGTCCATTCTTATTTGCACTTCCCAAATCTGGCACCATTTTAACTTAGATTTAAAACGACGTCTTCTCTCACACATTTGATCATACACAGTACCGTTTCTAGGTTTGCCACATTGTAACCAATAATTAAATTGTATCCTGGACTCCCTATAAGCATCGTGTACATATTTATTCCACCCAACTAAAGTTTTCTTTTTCCTAGTAATGGCACTGCCTTTATATGTCATAATTGCGACCTCGCTTAAGGTGTTCACTATAGTCTCATATATTTTGTCTAAAACCTCTCCGATCTACGATCACAGCAATAATAAAACTCCACCGGTAAATGCATATCTCTAAATTTCGAATTACAGTATTCTTTATATTTATTTATTTTATGTGTTTTTCTATTACCCTATATTATTTTATTATTTTTAACTATATTTTGTGAATTTTTGGACCTTACAAGTGCTAAATCACAGGTAATACGCATAGGGAAATGATCAGATCAATAAATCTATAATATAAAAATGAATTGCTGAATATGTTGCTAAGCGCAAATCTCGAGAGCAGCTGAACCGATATCGCTGATTCTTTTTTTATAATATTCCTTGAAGTACGAAGATGGAGAAAAATTTAAAAAATTGCCTGAAAAAGTCTAAAAACAACACTTTTTTATATTCCCATATAAAGGTTCGTAATAATACTTAAAAGTCAATTTGAACTTTAATACCATAACATAAAGTTTAAGTGTTAGTGGAGGGGTTCCGGGAAGGCAAAAAAATTGATTGACGTTAGTATCGTATAGATTATTAATGTCAATATTTATAAGATAGTAACATTACTCAAAAACAAAATTGGGGTTCCGCGCAAAAAAGTTGATATCCATGAAACCGTAGTAAATTCCACGCGGGCGAAGTCGCGGGGCACAGCTAGTATTGTATTAAATATCAACCTTGCGCATAGTGTGATATGCGGCAGTAGTAGTTACACAGTGATCAAGCCACCTTCTACTGCCATGTGTAGCACTTACATATGTAAAAGAGTCAGAGTACACACCTAGTTTGTCCATATCAGCTCTGATCCATACAAAACTTTAATAATTCGTCACCAAATAGCTCACTTGGGTGAGCGTTGAAATCGCCAACAATGAAAAGTGATCACAACTCTCAATGATTGCACTAATTCTATCTAAACACTCCGTGAACTCAATCAGGTTTTCATTTTTATCCACTGACATAAAAATATTGAAAACCAGTATGGATCGATCACTAATAACGGGCTTTATTGAACATACCCAAGGACTTTCACAGTTAATTACTGTCACTGAAGTAAACGCCGCTTTACGCCACAAAATTGCAACAGCTCTATATGGCCTGCCGTGAAGCAAACCAGCTGACGTATTAACTGATGACGTACCGGTGCCCGCGAAGTCATTGTTAATTGTATTCTAAAAAGGAAGCTCATCACACGACCACGTTTCTTGAAGCGCTACAATGTTAGCTGACTGACACAGTGACCTCACACATACCTCAGAGCGCTTTATAGTCTTGCAATTATAAGTTATTATTTTGAAATTAATATCCATTAATATTCCTGAATATATTTTTAAACAGCATAAACGTAAAACTATCTATTTCTCGGGCTTATTCTTTAAATTAATGAAACTTCGGAAGGAGATGCCATCCGGCCACAACTTATCATCCAAAAAAGTATTGATCCTATTTTTAGATACTAATAATTTGTAACTGTTTTATCCTGTTTCATATCAATCTATTCTAAACTTATAATCTCTTTAAGTTTTTTCTTGTATATAATTATTAATATCTGCTTCGGTGAGGGCTTTATTTACATTAGATATAAACAAAGGAACTTTTATATCAGCAGCTTTAAATTTTTCAGTGGGCTGTACACTTGCTTTTCCCTTCTGTCTTCTTATCCTATCTTTTCCTCTGTAACATAATACACCATCTGTTGGCCGATCTATTTTCCATTCTCCTTCATTATGAACCATTTCTGCCATACTAAGTTTATTTACATTCTGTAATGCGCATTTCTTTCCTTTATCCCCAACTAACGTATTCGCTCGCGATCGTAGCGGCGGTGGCGGCGAGACCTTAGTTGGATTAGCGGCTCGAGACGCTATAGATAGCACCGGTGTTTAACAAACTAGTTTGTATCGTAGGGTCGCCGTCTTCATTGTTAATGGATTCATATTTTGCATTATACGATAGCGCAGTCAGTTCGCTATCCAACAGATATTCTCCTCTTTTTTTGCTAACATTCACATCCAAAGGATTTGTTGGGACATAAATTTGTTTCTTTTATTCTTATATACGATTATTAACTTCTTCCTTAGTAACATAGGATTCTTTTATGTAAGACATTTCCGTTTTAATATTTGTATATCCGTGGCCCATAAACCTAGATAGATGTAGACATCTAACCTCGATTAAGAATCCCAATGCAGATGCATTGTCATCCTTGAGGACTATAATGGAATGCCTCGTTTCCAGTAAAAATAGTTTTCGGTAATCTATCCTCACCATACGGATCACAGCAGCATTAAGCTTCTATTTTACGCTGGTATTCTGTGAGAGCGTGGTTCTACCGCCTCTGTCTCTGTCTCTGTAGCTATTTTGTTAATTTTCTTAGGTTTTGTATAATTTCAAAGAAATTCAATTAAAAATTCTATTACCTAAATAAAAATTTTATTTAGGAGAAATTATAATTTCAAAAGCTCGTAAGGCTGATTTATTATCATTCATAATCATTACAACCCTTCACAAGTCCACTGCTGCACATAGGCCTCCCCCAAAGAATGCCACAAAGCACGGTCCTGGGTCACCTGCATCCATCGACTTCTTGCATGTCTTACCATTTGTTACCTAATCTAGAGGTGGGCACCCCACACTCCGCCTACTGGTATGAGGCTGCCATTCGAGACCCTTGCTACCCCGTCGGTTTTCAGCCGAAGCACTATGCTCAATGACCTCAATAGTGGTTACCAACGGATAGGTCTTAAGATGAACACAGACAAAACAAAGATCATGTATGCATGTCACACTTATGCCGGTAGTTGTTGGGAGCACTAAGCTCGAAGTTGTTGACGAGTATGTTTACCTGGGACAAATAGTCCGACTAGGTAAGTCCAACTTCGACCGAGAGGTCAATCGACGGATTCAACTCTGTTGGGCAGCGTTCGGGAAAGTACGTCACATCTTCTCGTCAGTGCCAGTGATGACCTATGGAATTGAGACGTGGTCCTTCACTGCTGGCCGTCGCTCAACGGTCTGATTTTTAATCACTAAATTACAAGAGAACTTAATTAAAGCTTCCCAATGCACCCTCAAACATGCATACAATCATCACAAACACAAGCCTCACCTAAGAAATGCCACGAAGCGCGATTCTAATCTAACGACATAAGAGCTTCAAGCTATTAGTGTTAAGTTTACACAATATTTTTGTAAGAAATTTACACAATACTTTTTTTAAGATTGTTCGCCTATTTTATATGAAACCTTTTATGTCTAAAATCAAATTAACATACCTGAGCTAACGCTTCTAGTTTCGGAACAGGCTGATTCAAAGGCCATAGTGACTTGTCAGTGTCGAAGGTTTGCGTTCCGCTGGACAACGGACGCTCAAGTATATTACCCCCGGATTTGTATCGGGGGTTCACAGATGGACACTGCGATAAAATTCCCTGAAATTCAATATCAATTCCAGGTCAATTACATTCGACTCGTACACAGAATTCTAATATGCTTTTAAAAAGGTGTTCTTAAACATCTCAAATTTAACTAACAGGGAAGTGTGGGCAGATCGAAAACCAAAAGTTAGCCACTTATGTATATCATATGTATCTTGTATACTCGTATATATCATACCTTATAAAACAATCCAAGTGCAATCATTTTTCTACAATATGGCGACGGCTCAGGCGGCATGTCTACCGGCACAATTTCCTTATCCAGTGTAGCCAACGCTTTTTGTAGCGTATCGTCGCTGTACGGGTCCTGTCCCAACAGAAGGTTCTCTGTCTCTTTCGATCTAATGAAGTCTGCGTTTATGTTGCCGAAAACGATGCAAGACGTCGTCACCTTCATAGAGGAGTCCAGATGCAATAGGAATCCTGCGTTGACAATCGCATGGGCGTTTTGTGCTCGCGGCATTATCTATAAACACAAATATCATTTAACCGCAATGGCCTCTCAATTATAAATTTAAATAGCTGTGCTCTGCGGTTTCACCCACGTATATCACGTGTCTGAACCGCCCGACATGACATGACACCTAGTTCAAGGATTTTAGGTAGCAATGTATGAAAAAATTGGCAAAATTAATCCCAGAGAGGCAAAATTATAGAGCGAAGTTAAGTTTTATCCACTCTCCTTCCCCCTCACGGGAGTGCGTCAACAACAGAAAGCGTCCCGAAGCACAGTTTTTTTCCAGTTTTAGAGAAAAACGTAATAAACTAATTTCCGTTCGCAACGATTAATATGCCATGCATAATAATTACCCTAACTTTTTAATTTTCAATAATTTTTTTGTTTCAAAATAACTTATTGTGGCTCATTTATAAGAAACAGGCATCCATATATCGCGGAATTTTTATTAGATGGAGTAAAGATATAATACTATATAAATATTTCTAGCTAAATATATAAATCTAGCCATAAATAGCAGCTGCGGATAAATCATTTCGGGAGCGCTTTTTCTTCTGACTTGCTTCACAAAAATCAATATTTAAGGCTAGCTGAGATGTGTGGCCTAATGCTAGATAGCTTATACTGTATTTCATGAATCTGGTTATAATATACAAAAATAATTTTTCAAATCGGACTGTTAGTTCCAGAGATTAGTGTTTAAACAAACATAAAAACAAATCAAAACACAAAAAGAACTCTTCCACTTTATTATATTAATTCCCGTGGCCCTGCCATATCCGACGAAGAAACACCATGGGGTTTAATTCGGTGCGAGTCCGATATAACCCGTCCTTGCCCCTGCGTGGCGGGTATGCGTAGGCATTTCCCTATGTAAAAAAAGTCTTCATGGGCTGCAGTAGCCATTTACTATAGCCATAATCAAATGCAAGCACTTACACAGAGGGATTCCTAGGCAAAAAGGAAGCATCCTAGTAATTATTTGGATGTTGATTTTTATGAGCATGTTAGTCATGTCCAACAATTTTTACAGTAGTTTTCTCTCCGGCTATAATTTCAAGCCATGCCTGACTTTATATGGCGTTATCGCAGCGTACTTATACCCATTAAAATTGAACAATACCTTGTACGTCCGAATTATATTGCTTGAGGACAGAGGCGGTAATTTGACGTCCAGTATTAATTTATTACGAAGATCTAACTTCAAGAAATCCTCCATATTTACTTCAGTCTTCTCAAGATTGCTGTCCACTATAAATTAAACAAACCAAACGTAACTATATGCTACATCACATTATTTTTCATGTGTGCTATGAACGGAACTAACTGTATTTTATCAAAAACAGAGCCAGTTTTTTTTTAACAAAATATTTAGGTAGTACTAGACTACTTTCCTACATGCTGGTAAGTGGTAATGTAGCCGAAGATGTTAGATCGCCTTAAAGCTTAATTGCAATCGAATTTAAAGAAGACAGGTGCTAGCAAATTATTTCACTCTATTTTTGTACTTTATAATTATAGGCTGTTGAGCGTGCCATGAAAATGCTTAGAGGTGCCAAATCACCTGAAGTCGTTGTTCTACCGACTTCCAAAAGGAGCCGGTACTCAATTCGACTGTATTTTTTTTAATGTGTGTTACCTCATAACTTTTTACTGGGTTAACCGATTTCGATGATTCTTTTTTATTTGAAAGCTGGTGCTTCGCATGTAGTCCCATCCATATAAATTTGCTCAAGGTCTGACTAATAGTTTTTGAGTTATTCTTAACAATTTATATTGAAGGAAAAAACCTCTGTCCTGGGAAGAACCAGCAAGAAACCCAGCGGGACTTTATTTTTAAAAGCATAACTTACAATGTAATATTTATGCAATTGTTATGAAAGCATTTAAAAACAGCATGGCAGCGATCACCTCATTCTCAATGGTTATTATCAATCATGTACTCTTTAGTAGTACTCATATAATAACCCTTACTAAACAATTTTTGTTTAGTAAATATTTTAAACCTTTTGATAGATAAAAATAATGTAAAGTTGTAGCATATTTACGTCACATTACGTCACAGGCCACCTCTCATTTCTGAGAGGGTTTTAAGGCAAGGAAATGTCCGCCGTGCTGCCTCAATGCGTGTTGGCGAACTTCACATGTCTTCGAAATATTTTTTTTCTTATTTCTCAAACATGCAGGTTTCCTCAGGATGTTTTCCTTCACCGCTGATCACGTGGTAACAATTTCATTGGTGCCGGCGGGGATCGAACCTGTGTGAAGCTTACAGCGAGCGCTAACCATCTGAGCTGCCACGGCTATAGATATCTCAAAATCCCCTCTATGAAGCAATCTATAGGGGAGGTCTATGTTCGACAGGGGACTTTTATTGGGTGTGATGGATGGATGGATAATAGGGATTTTGAAGGAATTACTGATGCTTTGGAGTAGAGTAACTGGTATAACTATCAACTTGTGCTTGTTTTTAGTATTTACAGAATATACTTCACACTTTTTAATAAAACTATTTTGTTTTTTTTTTGTACATACATCAAATTTTCGTAAATATATTGAGAGGCCAAAATTAATATATAAAGATATAATTAAAAAAAATTCTCTAAGGGATTCCTTTGGACCTAAGTGATAAATTTCTTTGGTTCTGACTCTGTTTCTTATGGCTCTTTTTTGCAAAACAAAGATAGTTTCAATGTCAGTCACATTACCTCATAGCAAGATTCCATATGACATTATGCTATGGAAATAACAAAAATAAACTAATTTAGATGTTTCAATACATGTAAGGCCTCTTAATCTTTTTTACAGCATATGCTGCAGAACTAAGTTTACATATATGAGAGCCCCATTGAAACTTCGTGTCAATTGTAATTCCGAGAAAATCAAAAAAGCCCAGCTCCTACCCATTTAAAAGTACACTGGTATTCACCTGCTAAACATTAAATGTGGTGAATGTAATACATTTCGTTTTATTACCGTTTAAAAACAAATGATTGACGTTAAATCAGTGTACTAGTTTTGATATAATATTATTCACTTTGTCATATCTTAATATTTTTACCTAAGTCGGAAGATCAACAAAGTGTCATCAGCAAATAAAACTATGTCATTGTTATTCCCCACCAAGTAAGATAAGTCATTAATATAAACTCAGAACAGGAAGGGGCCAAAAATTGAGCCCTGGGGAACACCTATACATATTACCAATCTGGAAGAACTGCTGCCATCAATAACAACTATTTGCTTTCTATTATTTAGATATGATGTAATAAGTTTGAGTGCTATTTTTTTACACCACAATGATGAAGCTTCCTGATTAATGTCTCATGGTGAACGCAGTCGAAAGCCTTGGAAAGATCACAAAATATATCCTCTGAATTCTCCCATGTACAGAAAATATGTTTAATCAGCGCAAAACCGGTATCATTTGACGAGCGATCCATTGTAAAACTAAACTGATTTATATGGAGTAATTTTTTACATTAGAAAATACTTAACATTTGATCTACAATAATTTACTGACCGTTGGCATTACAGATATAAGTCTAAAATTAGTGGGGTTCAATAAACTTTCTTAAAAAGTAAAATATCTTGAAATGTTATGTTCCGTTAGTTACTCGGGACCATAGTAAGAAGTGGTTAGAAGCATAAAAAAACGTTATCATTTTGAGATCGTGAACGTCGGGTGTGAGTATAGACAGCGACAGTGTGCAAGCAAGAGGTGGATATAGGTGACGCCATTTATATTCCTTTTCTTGATCAGCGTGTGAAGCATTAATCCATTATCCATCCATCCATCATACCCTATAAAAGTCCCCTATCGAACATAGACCTCCTCTATAGATTGCCTCATAGAGGGGATTTTGCCAGTTTTATATTAGTTAGAGTTATTATCACAAAGATACTGCTGCCCGTCTTCTATTTTAGTTTCCCCTGTCACCTCTTACAACACCCACGGGACGATATGGGGTAGTAAATATTCTTACACCTCCACTAAAGGGTTATTTAACGGTTACATTAATTACGCAACAAATATACATTAAGCAGATTTTGCTTTCACAGTTGGGTAAAACAAAAAGATGCATTACCAATCGTGATCACAGCCTGCACGGTCGTTAGGAGTAGAAATATATCGGAAGGGAATTCGTGATGTACATTTTTCATCGCCAAGTTGCCTCCTATAGTGCCGATCTGAAATAAAAATGATTTTTAGAAATTAACCTACCAGTAAGTAGACTAAATTCTGATTCTTTATAAAAAAAAAAACTTTCAACTCTTGATCCCTTTTAAAGTGAAAACTCATTTTTAAAACAAATTACTATTTCCACAACTTACATCGATTTAAAAATCTTTTAATATGCTTTGTAAGTTAAAAAAAAAATAGTTTATAATAAAAACGATTTTTCCATTCACTTCGTATATCGGATTACGAATCCTTTCTTGTTATATGACTTGTTTTTCCTTATCATAAGCATGAAGACCGCCAAAACATGACGTCAATCAGGAGTAAAGAAGACAAATTCAATATTGTACACGTAATAAAAAGAGACACGGCACCTTAGAAAACCGGCGAGGATGCCTCACTCTATGGCATCTAATTGACTTGGTCGAACTTGCGTTCTTCACTCAACAAAAAACCTCGATATTTTAGCCAGCTAACCTCGATAATATTGTTCTCGAAGATTGTTCTGTATATGCAGAATCGTTCAGAAACTTCAATAGTGTGATTTAGTTTCAACAATTGGTCGGTCCCTTGTCGTTATCGTGACGTATGGATAGCGCCACCACAAATGATCCAATCCACACATCACGCTGCGTAGGAAATCTATCAACCCAATCCATCCCATTGCTTTGGTGTCCTAGAGTAGACAGATATTATGAAGGCCCAAAAGAATCCTATTTTATGGCAAATATAAAATACCTCGACTTGTTGAAACAAATCAAATCAAACCAGTGTCAAAAGTGTGTGTTTTTGGTACTGTACTCAACCTAATGGTGCGTGGTGTTTTAGACGTGTACGTGGTAGAGCCATGCTGTAGCTATATTATGTTTATAGCACAAATGGGTCGGCTCGACCGGACAAGGATCATGCTCTTACAGAATACCAGCGTAAAATAGTTTCGTATGGTGAGTGTAAATCGGATACCCTCTTCACCGGAACCGAGGTAGCCCGTAAATGTGACAATTACTAGTGACTTAATCAAGGATAGATGTAGATGTCTCTAGGCAACAGTATCCACTTACCTTAAGGTGAACTGTGTGCTCGTTTGTAACCCATATCCTTTAAAAATCCACCAGATAAGCTAACGATTACGACAACTCTCAATAGGAAAAGTATAGATCTTTCTAGATCTTATAGATCTTCTTAGACAAAGGTTACTCGGGGAGTCTGTTAATATGAAAAACTAGCGACCCGCCCCGCCTTTGCATTGTTAAGATTTATTAATGTTTCGTTATTTAGAATTAAGATGATCAAAGGCCTCTTCAATTTTTCGTATTTTTTTAAATCAAGTTTTTCGGAAAAAATATAGCCTCCTGGCCTTACTCTCTAACTATCCGTAAAGTTTCATCACGATCGGTTTAGCCTTTCCGAAGAGTAGCTCGGACAGGCAGATAGACAGACCGACCAATTTTTTTTGATTTAATAGCATTCAAAATAACCCCCTAAGCTTAATAGATAGTTATTTAAATATTGCAGACACACTTCAATTTATATATATGTACATAGCCATATGTGGCAATGACTTACGTTTCTCACGGGAACATGTGCGACCAACTCCATGTGCTTGTAGAAATGTTCCAAGTATTGAAAATCGTCATTAATCCCAGCGTAGGCTTTGAGCTCGCTCATCAATTCGGTCAGACTCATCCCTGCTCCTAATATTAGGTTGGCGGCTCTCGACACGCCTTTTAGAGCTTCTATGGACGCTATGTCTATGTAAACCCTTGGTTCTTCAGTTATTGGGTATATACCTGGATAAAATGATTTGAAAAAAATAAAAGTAATAAAATCATCTTGTTTAGAATTGAAGATTTCTTTTGAAATTGCAAAAATAACTTTATAAGTATATTTTTTTATCTTATTCAGTTTTTTATTCTATTGTCGTATATAGGCCCATTATAGAATGCGTCATAAAATAATTTGTATAGTTGTAGGCAACCTCAGTTTTTTTTTATTATTTTGGGTTGTTATCAAGATGATGATGTCCATCGCTGGCTTCAGTTTTCCTCTGTAGCGTCTTACGACACCCATGGTATGATTTGGGTGGTGGGTTTTCTTACGCCGCCACACGTTGCATTAGAATACTCGTATTGAATAGTAAAATGCAGACACATGTATATCGTTTGTGTTTACTCCTTATATTCAATGGCGGATTATCCTTAAAGCAAAATAGGCACGTGCCTTGAAGCGCGAGGTTACAAAGGGGCGCGCGCGGAAGTTTTTAAATGAAATAATATTATTAATGAAATAAATATTATTAATTATAATACAGTTTTGCAAAATGAGCTTCTAGCCTACGGCGCTGTCCACATTTAATCTGTCCCTGCTTACATTCCTAGTTGCCACGGTTATATTTTTTAATTATAAAAAAGCAAATATGTTATATATGATATAGTTCATTTACCTTTGCCGGTATTTCCTGCTACAAGTCGGTAACTATTTGTGCCTTCTCTTGACAGTACCTAAAACCATAAAAAATTTCAAATTTTCATATTCTTGCTGAGGATATTTTAGTAAATCCTTTTTTTTTCATTTATTATAGTCTGTAAAAGTCTACTGCTAAACATAGGCCTTCATCTAGATTGCCTTATGAGGGGGATATTTGCCATAGTTGTGACACTTGGCAGGCCGATCTGCATTCGCAGTTATTTATTTTCTTAGTTAGTTCTTAGTTTAAGAAAGGCTTTGCTGTAAATCTCCTGGTTAATTTCCCTTTGTCGCCTCTTACGACCCACAGGACTATATGGGGTTGTACACTGCCACTACATGGTTAGAACCCTTTCTTACCAATCCGTAAATAAACGTCTACTGAAAATGGGTCTCATAACAGGGAAAATTTGATATCAACTTCGTGCTTGGCAAGTGAAATGACGACTTATTGATGATTCATGATCAGATGTTTACGAGATTTTCCAAATGTTTCTCTTAGTCGTATCTAACGATATCCAAGAAAATACATGGGATAAACGGTTCTCTTAGATTTTTGTAGACCAGCATTAGAGATCTGTAGATCAGCTAGAGCTTACGAAATTTTGTACATAGTCATTATATCTCTCTAATTCTCTGTAATTCTTCTGTCCGTGTGTATATGATTGAACTCGTCCTAAACGGCTGGACCGATTTTAATGAATTTTTTGTGTGTGTGATTAAGTTGATTCTAGGATGGTTTAGATTCACAATTGGGACCTTGTAGGTGGTGCTGTTGCAGAGATCCAGAAATCACCCCTGCTAAGCCGGGCGAATCGCTAGTATATATATTTCTGAAAACCAAACGAGAGTTGCTGTGCGTACATTCAGTTTTGTGTTAATTGGTGTTTTGACCATAACGTATTAACTATATAAAAGTGGTCCAAAAAAGTTACCTTGAAAACACCCTGTATTGTTAATGCTTTGTACCAGCGATGTGCGTCCAAAGCTACTTGAAAGATTGATTCTTTTGGATTCTCTGTTACCCAGTTATCATCTACTGGGTTGCTTTTAACGAGAGTTTTGTTGATACATTTCATTTGGTGTAAATCTTCCAAGTCCTATAGTGGATATAAATTATAAGATTTTTAAGTGTTACTAAGTGTATATAATTCTAAAATGTAAAAATGATTCCTTATCGAAGGAATATATAAGAAATATCAACGTTGAACTCTGTTCAAAGTTGAGTAATGCCCTAGACTGCGCATGACCGAGCTTACTAAAGTTGAACTACTGAATCAGTATTCTTACATGATAACTTTAAAAAATAAAATAATATCTTTAATATTTTCCCACAAACAGGTAATTTAATGTAAATTGTTACGTATTCATTAAACATAAAATCTTAGTTCTTTGACATCATTCTTATTTCAGGGGTATGATAAGGTGTTTATCTGATCTAGTTTTACATTCTCTTGACTTCACTCGTTAAAATAATTGTAAAAAAGTAAATATTTTTTTTTTACATCTTAACTTATAGATTTTTTTTGACTTACCTTTATGACACTTGGAATCTGAACCACTGAATCAGTGGCAAAGCTTTTAAACGTGTCCAGAATGGGTCGATACCCGGTGCAGCGGCACATGTTACTACCAAATGACTTCTCTATCTCTTGTCTTGTTAAGGTCTTCTGCGTGCCTTGGCATAAACTAAATAAAGAAAAGAAGAATATTTAAATCTGAATTTCTGTCGCAATATAGCAAAACTCAAACATGGAATAAAACTAATTTATCAGTAAAATTTATCGCGTCTCACAATATCCCCGTGACCATGGGTCCTGTAAAGTAAAATGCCCGGAACTTCGGGAATTAAAAAAGTTAAAATTAAATGCGATAAAATCCGTAATATAGGGTTTGATTCCATGAATAGTATTCACATTAATTAAGATAAGAAAGAATTATCAAAACACAGTAATTACCTGTACATACTCATTATCCACCCAGGTGTGCAGTAGCCGCATTGCGTCCCATTGAACATGGCAAGTCGAGTTTGCAGCGAGGTGTACCCATCTTTGCGGTTGCCCAGGGCCTCTATCGTGGTTATTTCCCATTGATGACACGACAGAATGTGGACCAAACACTAAAATACGCAAAAGGCATAAAGATTCGTTCCATACGACGATCGGTTGTTTCTTAAATTGATTTCTTAACTTTCTTTAGCAGCGTATGTTATGTTGTTTTTTGGAAGTTCCTTATTGGTCGGTGTGAATTTGGCGGATAGGGACTAGGCGAGAAAAAGAGTAAGATTTTCCGTTACGACTCCTGACGTAGTGTAGACGGCCTTGGCGGCTATAAGGAAGCGAGATGGAAAAATATCCATATCCCTCGCACATTTTCTTATGTTGCCATGAAAGAAATGTTATTTTATTTTAAATGACGCTTCGTCAATATAGCACGTTAATCAATAATAACATACTACGAAAGGAATTTCGTTCCAACCGAGTGTTCCACGACACTAAGGCATGTTTTTTTAAATAGTATAAGGGTGTCAAACGAGTGCACAGTCCATCTCATGGTAAGTGGCACACAGTGCCACAGCCCATAGATATCCACTTTTGATCATCTAGAATCAATATGCTGAATGTGTTGTCTCCCCTAATAACTAAGTTGGAATGCCTCGTTTCCAGTAAAAGGGTCTCCGGTTCACTACACTCACCATACGAAACACAACAGCAGAAAGCTCTTATTTTACGTTGGTATTCTGTGAGAGCCTGGTACTTCCCCGGTCGAGCTCATTCGTACTACTACCATAATATAGCTGCATCATGGCTCTACCACGTATAAAATGTAAGTAAATTAAGTACTTTATTCTAAAGATGATATAATCAAATATTGTTCTATCTTACATACATAATACATAACATACATAAACACTCACGCCTGTCACCCAGAGGGGTAGGCAGAGACTACGGACTTCCATTTGGCGCGATCCTGACACACCTCTCTCGCCTCTTTTACATCCATATATCTACGCATACACGCTCGTCGGTTAAGGGTACTCCTAATCTGGCCCATTTTTAATGTATCGCCGATTTGGTCGATAAACCTTCGTCTAGGGCGTCCCTTCCCGACCCTGCCGTTCACTGTTCACTGTTCTATCTTACATCACAATAATTGTATCCTACAATATTATCATATATATCCATCAATCCATTGCAGCCTACTACAGATTTTTTTCTTTTTAACTTACCGAGTTAACAGCAAACACCTGTTTCTCTTTAGATACAGGATTCAACCGGGTTACGGAGACCACGCAAGCTCCACAACCGCCTTCATGGCACATCGACTTGGTACCATATAAACCAAGGTAATCGCGGAGGTAATCATTTAATGATGTGGATGAACCCACTTCTGATCCAGCTAGAAAACAAATAAACAATAATGTCATCTAGACCAAATTTCGGTCACGGCCACGGCCAGACCAACAGAGGCTAGCCATCTGCACAGGATAGGTTTAAAGTGCCCAAGTGTATGCTCAAGCACAGGTGCACTCTCTATTCCCTCACTCTCATAGTCCGATGGGACGGTAATCTGACACGGCTGGAGATAATGATTATGCGCAGTACCAACGGATTTCCGTGCTAATCGAGACACTGGAGTGAAATACGTTAGATAGTAAGTCTAGAAGGTTGGATTTAGTCTAGTAAGCAGTGCACATGCACTGCTTACTAGACTAAATCCTAGGATTCTACTGTGGGATTTCTAATGTGGGATGCTACTTGCGTAGACACTTTGGCGGCCTCTCATCTCAGGGGTACCTCGCTTAAAGCCGGGGCAGCATCAGAAGCAGCTGAACTGAGTAAGTGGCACAAGTATGAGGCCCTGAGAGATGACTACATATTTGCGCCATTTGCTGTAGAGACTATCGGTCCGTGGGGTCCACGTGCGGTGAAGTTCCTAAAGGAACTCCATCCGCGGCTGGTCGATGCTGCTGGTGATAAGAGGGCTGGTTCTTTTCTCGCTCGGAGGCTAAGTATAGCCATTCAGCAAGGAAACGCAGCCAGTGTTTTTGGTAGGATACCGCGGGGAGTAGGACTGTATGATAACTAAATTACTAGTTTTAATTTTTTTTTATTATAGTTTTTAATATTGTATATATAATACAATTTAATTATTTTAATTATATTAGATTAAAGTTAGTACATTAGAATACAGGAAATGCGAGAAATATGTTATAGCATCGTTAAAACCTCTACTAATCTCTATTTTTTAAAACTCCTTTATTCCAAGCACAAACACCCTCCTTTTACCGGTTGAGAAGTAAATAGGAAGTGACTATTAGATCACGTAAATCGAGTTCTTTATTTTGAATAATGATGATTAATGGTGATTCTTATTTAAAACAGAATCCGTTTTCCGCACGGCTTCGAGAGCAATCGTTCATCTTTCACTTAATAGTTCATTCTGCGAAATAGTTTTTGACCATCGATACAATACAGTATAATAAATAAGTTGAACTTACATAGACTATAACGGATACCGTTTACAGAAAAACAAACTTTCTCCATTTTCAATAACTGGAACACTGCTGGCTATACATCACACGATCTGTAAATGTGAAAACCAAAAAGCTGATAACCCATAAATGCCAAATAGATAATTCTATTAACCATAGTATAATTGTTAAAAAAATGAAAATAAGATGTTACCTCTTGTGACTGACCTTGAGGATTTCTTTCCTCCCTTACTCCACTAACCCACCTACAGAAATCTATATATTATTTAGTTAATATTATTTCGATTTCTGTGTCACTACCGCTTTTACTCGCAATAATAGCAATACTACTTAACCATAATTTCGATATTTGTAAATCTCCGGTAAACGCCATACGACGTCGTTTTCTACCGACTTCAAAATGAAGCCGGTATTCAATTCGACTGTATGTTTTTATGTGTGTTACCTCATAACTTTTTACTAGGTGAACCGATTTCAATGTTTTTTTTATATGAAAAATAGTGCTTCACATGTGGTCCCATATAAATTTGATTAAGATCTGACCAATAGTTTTTGAGTTATTCTTAATAATTTATATTGAAGTCAAGATCATATCACGAATAATAAACAAGTGATTATCAAAGAGAATATTAGTATGTTTTATTGTAAGTTATTATTTATGTTGTGAGTAATATTATATATTTATTATGACAAGCATTTCTTCAGCATCACATGCAAGGTAATTGCCAATCAAGATCCTCATTAAGAGAGAATAAAATTTTATTAATATATTTAAAACTTTATTAAATATTTATTAAATATGGGGAATATTTTTATACACAACTTAAATATATCCATAATTATTTAGTCATATATTAAATATATTTTAAAGGTTAGTAATTTTATACGTTTTTAATTTTTTAAGGTTACTCACGCACAGGCATTCCGAGCAAACGCAAGTTGCTTTAATTTGATCTTTGCCAACACTTCTGTTAATTAAAATTTTAATGCTGATTTACCACTAACTCAGAAAGAAAATATAAGCTTTTAATAAAAAATCTTTTTTTCATTAAATGTAAATTTTTTTGACAATTTTGATGGACTATGGAATATCTCGAGCTCAATGCTACAACAAGAGTGTCGTCCAAACTATATATTCGTATTCTATGTAACTATGACGACTATTATGGTTAATGTAATGTTGACGATTACATTAAATATAGTCATCATAGACATAAATGATTATATATTTAATGTAATGTGACCGCTCCGTGACACAGCAATGAGTTGCAACGCTGGGGGCCGCGGGTTCGAATTCCGCACGGAACAAGTATTTGTATGGCCTACAAATGATTGCTCCGAGTCTTTTTGTTTGTCCTTGTGCAATCCACGAAATGTTTCAACACTGTACTTGTCAACCCATTGAAAATGCCAAAAATCACATGTATTTTGGTCTGATTATTGACGAACGATTTTGCTGGAGAGCGCATAAAGATCACGTGTGTGCAAAACTTTGCTCTGTATTAAGTAAACTTTATGTTTTAAAATTTAAGCTACCATATAAAATACTTAGATTACTTTACATGGCTCTAGCAGATTCTGTTATAAATTACGGACTTAGCAGTTATGGAAGAACTTATGTAACGTACATACATAAAATTTACACACTACAACGCAAAATGCTTAGATTGATAGTACCTAAGCACATTAAAAATAAGTATATAGATAATGACCGGGGTCTTTTTAATTATTGCAAAGTCATAAATGTTTTCGATAAAGTTAAATTTTAATATACTGACTGAAGTAAATAATTCAGAATACCTAGTTCTTAGAAAACGACCTGTAAATCTACGAAATATAGCTTATAAATCCAACATGTATGTACTTCCGAAAACTAAAAATTTCTATGGAGCAAGAAAGTTGGCCCATGTTGTACCTACTTTTATTAATGCCTTGCCACTAGAATTACAAAACACATACGGTAAATCAAAACTGTTTAAATGTAAACTTAAATCATATTTGATAAATCAACCATACTTATTGTAGTAAGTACTTCTGTTCGCGCCAAACGCTGTCGTCGGAATAGACGCGAGAGGGCGCGCGGCTCGGTGTCATACCGGTTTGACATTCGGTCGTGCGTAAAACGCCCAAGCGCAGCGAGTCGTCTGTCAGCTGTGTTTGGAACAGCACGCTGTCATTTTTGTCGGGAACTCGGAATAATTAGGCGCGGCCGGTAAATATACGGTCTAGGATTTGTGACGCGCATTCCTGCTGGAGAGCTTCCCAGGGACTCATTGTGTCTGACTCAGAATCTGCATAAGTGCATTCGGCAATATTAGCTAGTGCGGCCTTTGATATTCTAGAAATAACTGTTGCTACGCGAAACGGTAGTGACCTTTGATTGAACCTTATAACAAACGAGAGCTGGTGGCTTCTGTAAGTTAGTTAATCGTACGATAGAGTTAATGGACTGTCATCGTGACGAACGAGGAAAGTGACTGTGGACAACGCCGCGGAAGATCACCTCAATTTGGAGCGGTGTCGACGCCCGGGCCGCTGCTGACGGCCAAGGTCTACAAAGGTCAATCACCATCAGTCACACCCAGATACACATCACATCACCTTATTTCCCTTGCACAACACAACCACATGCGACCTGACCGACTCCGGAGGGACCAGTCGCCTTGGATATAGGTAAGTAAGCTCCGTCTAATATTCTCCCGGTCGAATGACTGTAGTATAGAACGCTCCCCCATATAGTTTAGTGTAATTAGAGATATTCCACGTGGCCATATTGAGGCCCGACCTACGTCTGCTCGTGAAGTCTTCTGCTCATGGGCCCCAGAGGATTTGACCCTTTAAGGGAGCAGCCGAAGGCCGTAACATACTGGTAGCAGAGCGCGGTTCCGGGTTCGATTCCCCGGTCGATCCCGACCATAGTGTTTAATAAAAATTAAACAATTCTAGTGGCAGGGAGCGTTGGTTTGATTGGTTTAATTTGTATCTACAATCACGCCCGTCCGTAATACGTAAAAATATTTTTTGTACGTAATAATAAAATTAGAAGAGATAGACAAGTTGCGCTGGCATATTATAGGATTATTCGAAGTCCGAAGAGAGGGGGAGGACACGGTAATACTCCAATCCGGCAACTTGCTCTATTACTACCGGGAGGGCGACCATCTGTCCCAAGGAGGTGTCGGATTTATCGTCCACAAGTCTCTCGTTAACAACGTTGTAGAGATCGGGAGTGTGTCGACGAGGGTTGCGTACCTTATACTCAGAATCACCAAACGGTATTCGCTGAAGGTCATACAGGTTTACGCACCAACCTCGGCACACCCCGATGAGGAGGTGGAGGAAATGTATGAGGATATCTCTAGAGCCATGCATTCCTCCGAAACCCAATATACGGTGTTAATGGGAGACTTTAATGCAAAACTAGGCACAAGAGAGAACGGTGAGCTGAAAGTAGGGAAATTTGGAATAGGGCAACGGAACCCAAGGGGCCAGCAGCTGGCCGACTTCATGGAGAAAGAGGGACTCTTTATGATGAACTCTTTCTTCAAGAAGCGGCCCCACAGGAAGTGAACCTGGTCGAGCCCCGACGGTTCGACAAAAAATGAGATTGACTTCATTATGACGACCAGACGACAACTGTTCAGTGATGTCTCCGTGATCGCGAGGGTGAAAACTGGTAGCGATCACCGAATGGTTAGAGGCACACTGAACCTAAACGTTAAGTTGGAGAGGTATCGTCTAATGAAGTCAACGCTCCGTCCCCCTCGTGCTCTAATCCAAAGTCCCGAAACCTTTCAGCTCGAGTTACAAAACCGTTTTCAGTGCCTAGAAGACTGCAATGAAGTGGACGATATGAATGACAAGCTCGTGGAAACTGTCCATGCGGTCGGAGCTAAGTTCTGCAATACCCGCCGCAGAAGAACACAAAAACTCTCCGATCACACTCTTAATCTCATGGCTGTTAGACAGGAGATGAAGCTACATTCTTCAACAGACTTGACAGCATACAGGCATCTGAACAGACAGATCTCCAAATGCATGCGGCGGGACTTACGCAACTTCAATACAGCTCGTATTGAAGAAGCGATCGAGCGGAACCAAGGCTCCAATGTCTTTGCCAGAGATCTGTCTGACAGAAAGAGCCAACTGTCAAAGCTGAAGACAGAATGTGGCAGCATCGTTTCCGGGACACCTGAGATCTTGAGTGAGATTGAGAGGTTCTATGGGCAGTTGTACACGTCATCGTTGGAGCCACACGCAAGTGTGAGTAACGATCCAAGAGCGAGTCTTATTCGAGATTATTCCGAAGATATCCCGGACGTCAGTCTGAGCGAGATTAGAATGGCTCTCCAGCACCTTAAAAACGGTAAGGCCCCAGGCGGGGATGGAGCTTCTGAAAGCGGGTGGAAAACCGGTACTTGAAGTCCTTCAGAAGCTCTTTAATTCCGTCCTCCATGGTGGCATTACGCCGGAGGCGTGGAGCAGAAGTGCGGTGGTCTTGTTCTTCAAGAAAGGTGACAACGCTCTCTTGAAGAACTACAGACCGATTTCCCTTCTGAGCCGCGTCTACGTGTTGTTTTCGAGAGTCATTACGAATCGTCTCGCGCGCAGACTTGACGACTTCCAGCCTCCCGAACAAGCCGGTTTCCGAAAGGGCTTTAGCACCATAGACCACATACATACCCTTCGGCAAATTGTACAGAAGTCCGAAGAGTACAATTTGCCACTATGTCTGGCGTATGTGGACTATGAGAAAGCCTTTGATTCCGTCGAAATTTGGGCGGTGCTGCAGTCCCTTCAGCGGTGCCAAGTTGACTGTCGGTATATCGAAGTGTTGAAGTGCTTGTATAGCAGGGCTACGATGGCTATCCGAGTACAGAACCAGAGTACGAAACCTATCCAATTGCAGAGAGGTGTAAGACAGGGTGACGTCATATCCCCGAAACTCTTCACCGCTGCATTGGAAGACGTTTTCAAGCTTCTGGACTGGAAAGGATACGGTATCAACATCAATGGCGAGTACATCACTCACCTTCGATTTGCCGACGATAT